TTGCACCTTAATAAAATAATTATATTTTACTTGTGGGTTTTGCCTTCACTGACCTCAAACCACCTGCGCGCCACTTTGCACTCTGACTGAGAAACACCCCCACTTAAATCTTCTTTGGACTTCAAACACCCGGGGTGGAAGACAGCCACACTTTTTTAACTGGGGGGGGGGCGGATAATTTATGCAAGATGTCAAAAGCGGGAGGGGGAGAGAAGCAGCCTTCTGCTGAGCCAGGGGTGCCATGGCGTGAAATTGACCAGCACGCTGAAACTGACTCAAAACCATGGCCCCCTCCCAAAAAAGTCCCTAGCTACGGGGCTGGCTGGGAGACTTGCCCATTTGCTCCCGAGCTGTTGGGACAGACTTGAATGGGCTAGTGGTAACCTCCCTTCTTAGTGTGAGGGCAGCCTCATGCTAGGTTTATTGTAATTTTGTTTGTTGTAAGCCCTTCCACCCAAACGTCCTTAGCCAGGGCTTGGTTGAGGACTTTTGACAGGCAGAAGGATTGGGCAACCATCAGAAGCCCACGATGTAGAGAAGCTGGCAGCATTTTTTTCCCCCTGCCTACTTGGCTATGCTTGCAGCCCCTGCCCTCTTCTCTCATGCCAGGATTTGATAAATGTTGGTAATTATTACCCTATGAATAATTGAATTAAATAAATAATGGCCCAGGCGTAGGTTTGAGCGCCTCTTGAAACTTCAGGGTTAACCCTGGTGCTCATCCTTCTGCAAATTAAAATGGATACTTGAGTGGCCGGCTCATGGCGAGCCGGTGACCTTTTATTTATTTATGCATTTGTAATTTATTTGCTCAGGATATCTCGCCTCAGATGTAGCATCTGTTTTTGTTTTGGGTGGGATTTTTTCCCCCGTGAGATTTTACTTTTTCAATTTTCCAGCTGAGTTGCCTGAAGGACAAGGAGGCCAAGTATCTGCCCGTCCACGTACAATGAACGAGCAGCTCTGCCAGTTCTGTTTCCCTGCTTTTTAAACAGCCTAGCTAGCAGTGCCAGTGTCCCTTGTACTGCCAAAGGTCATTATTTTGCTCTGCCTCTGATGTAAATAACCCAAGTGCTTCGGTTTTAAACAGGCATCCCAAGACCAGAATTAGTTACCCACCATTCATTGCAAATGGGCATTTAGGAGAGACGGCGGTGTTCATTTTCAGGGCTGCCCCTGCCATTTGCCCTGTCATTTGAGGGGGACCATTAAAGGGCAGCAAGTTGTCTATTTAGTTCATTAAAATTTCACCACCAGGGTTAGGGATCACCAACTGGATGTATTTATTTTAATTTTATTTAAAAGGTTTACAAGCTGCCTTTCTGTTAAGCTTCCAAGAGGCCACGTCGCTATTAAAAAGAACACACAATCTTTTGGCCTCCCCTGCTTTCTGAACCTTCCATCCTCAAATGGCCCATTAGGTGAAGACCCATAGTTTGGTCTACAGCCTGGCAGCTCCAGTTTTTGTGGCTACCATATTAAACTGCTGTGCCATCTGTTTTGTTTATAGCTCAGTTTAAATCCGTTTTAATTATTTACTATGGATGACTTTTATGAAGTTTTTAATTTTTACTGTGAAATGTTTTAACTTTTGTTGTCATCCACTCTGAGCCCATTTGCGGGAAGGGCAGAATATAAGCCATGATGATGATGATGATGATGATGATGATGATGATGATGATGATGATGATGATGATGATGAATTCTCATAAAACAAAATGTATGAGGTTCTGCAAGTTTAAAAACTTGTGCTCACATAGGGCCAAAGTTGATAGCCCCTTCTTGCTTCATTCCTTGGCCACCCCTAACCTTTGGCACTCCCTCACTTGGGAGTAATATGTGGCTCCCCCCCACACACACACACACCCTTACACGCCTTCCAACACCAGTTAACGGTTCGTTTTATTTCAAAAGGCCTTTTAAAATTAGATTTTCTGTCACAGCTTTAAAATGCTATATTCTGGGCAAATTTTATTCTTTGTTAGCTCTTGAAGTCTTATTGCAATTGTTACGAACACGCTGTGCTTTTATCAGTTTTTGAGCTGACTCGAGTGTTTGTTTGACCTAGGAAGGTGGTGTATTAATAACTGAAAGCAAATCATCCATCCATCCTTCCCCTGGTGCTAGAGAATGCAAGGATTAAAAAAGCTAGGAAGTGAATCAGTGGATCAATGTAGTCAATCAATGGGTTACACACTAATCAATTAAAAAATGTATTGACTTAGTGCCCCAGTGTGAGTAGGCAACAGACATCCGTAATGGGGCAGGGCCTTGACTCACCGGTAGCGGATCTGCTTTGCTTGCAGAAGGACTCAAATTTAATCCCCAGTGTGTCCTGTTAAGGGGATTCAGGTAGAAGACCATGTGTGAAACATCCCCCTGAGACTCTGGAGAACCACTTTCAGTCAGACATTACTGATCTTGATAGTCAAAATTGCCTGACTCAGTAAAAGACATTTCCGTGTGCTCATATGTTCAGTTTTTAGCATCTTTATACCAAATGCTATGAATAACATAAATACCTGGCAAACTGCAGTGGGCCTTTTCCATCTTAGAAGAGACATTTCTTCCTGTGTGACAGACAATACTGTCTAGCTGTAACACCAGTGCATCATCTCAAAATAAAATGTGTTCTTTTTTTCCTCTTTAGGTTTTTCTCATCTGCATATGCTTTAATTAATAGGCTGAAATGCATACTTTTGACTTAAATTTCTTCAAGTAGGTGGCAAGTTCTCTTTAACCAAATGAATTACTGGGTCATGGAGATTCGAGGGAGCCTTTTCAAACGTTGCCTGCCCATAAAATTTAATTCTATTTTGAGAACCTTATCACAGCTCCTGAGTGGCCCAGGCTTCCTTTTTTTAACGTTCCCTGCAAAATCCTGTCAAGCAAAGTAAATAAAAATAATATGATGAACAAGGAACCCTGTCTGGTTCCTCATTCAGACTGACAAAGATAAGTGAAGGCAACGTCGAAGTCTCTCTTCAGGATTTTAAAAAAAAAAGCTACAGTGCTGACAGCCTTCCATCTATGTTATGATCAAAGTTATTTCAAATGTTTCTCAAAGGTCTGAAATCTTCTTTTCTTGATGCTACCAGTATTTTCTCTCTGTCACATCTGCATCACCTGTCAACTGGAGAAATCTCAGTATGGCTAATCTAGAAGTGATTTCTTGGGAATTCTGGACATAGCCCTCCTGGCAAAAGCCAGGGGTTAGAATGTCAGACTACAGTCTGAAAGATCCAGATTCAAATCCTCACTCCGACATGGAAGCTTGCTGGGTGACCTTGGGCCAGTCACACGCTGTCACTCAGAAACATGGTTGTTGTGAGGATACAGTGGTGGAGAAAAGAACAATGTAAACTGGTTTTGGATATAAATGAAATCAATAGATAAATGAGATCATTGACTAAAACTGCTTTTAAATCCTTACAGGACTTTAATCTAGAAATTATCAATAATAGTTAAAATAAGTTCTAGACATAATTTTTAAGATGGAGGTGGATATGCTGCCTCTGAATAGGCTTGGAAATACAGGCCAGGATCTAAGGTGCCATGTGATATGGACCCATTTAGTAGATTCATCAGGAATCAAGTGGTACAGCTTTTGTTTGAATATTCCCTTTTCTGTCATTCTTTTTACAAAAATTCTTGTAGGGACAAAACTAGATTGTCAAAAGAGAGAGACTCATCCTTTTCTTCTTTCTGGCATTGTATATGTGAGTAGAAAGAAAGAAAGAGGAGCACACTGAATTGCTTGTGACATTTACCATTGCCCTAACCCTCATACTGTTCCAGTTCCTTTTATACCTCTTGAACCTGCCTTTGCATGACAAACATGGGTGTGGAACATAGTCCAAGAAGGTGAAGGGTTAAGCACTCCTTTGTCCCAGTTGCCATCTTTCAACCTAACCTACCTCCCAGAGTTGTTGTAAGGACAAATGGGAGAAAGGAAGAACGATGCTTGGGTACTTACTGGGGAGAAAACAGGGTATAAATAAGTTTTTAAAAATGCAACTGTCAGTGGTCAGCAACAGAGCTGGTTAATGCAAGAATGTTTTCAAGAAGGGCGATGTCCAGTAGATAATTAAAAAATTGTCACTGCGAGTACTAATGAGGCAACTTTAAAAAAGGAAAGATTACAAAATGGTTTCATTTTTATTTTGAAGTCTAGAAATAGATGCCGCTCCCACGATACATCAATCCTGCTTGGACTGTTGTGTGCCAACTGCTTGGAACAGATGTTAATTACAGTAGTAACAGTTTCTTTTCACGGATACATTTTCAAACAATTATGTGAATGGCTTAGGATCCTGGCAAATTAGTTAAAATTATTTTATCATTATGTGCTTGTTTGCATTTGTAAAAGCTAGCAATTAAGAATCTAAAAATGGCTCGTGACCGAAAACTCTTGATGCTACAATGATTTTATTCCATTCTCGTGGCACATTAGACAGATAGCATCCATCTTTGAAGCACTGGTGGAGAAGCAGCATACTTTCTCCTACTGAAATGGTTTAGCATGCATCAGTTAATCGGAGAATTAATGTAATTATTTTTATGCACCATGTATCTGTCTCCTGGCGATATTCATTTTGCACTGCCAGAATTGGTACATGAGTTTTCCAGATATCTTATAGGTTTATTGAAAGCTTTAACGAAATTTACCTAATTTAGCAAAGCATCATTAGCGTACTTACTGAAATTCCTTTTTCCCCAAAAACCTTAGCTACTCTGTTTCAGTGAATTATAGAAATCTAAAAGTAGCTAAAAGTAAACGATCAACACAAATTCTACATAGGATTGACCTCTTTTGTATGCTTTTTCCCCCTCCTCTCCGACAGCTTTGCATACATTCACAATACATACATTGTGGAACAGAAGATGTTTGACACTTTTTTTTTCATTTACATAAAATCAATACTCAAAGTTTGAAGATGCACCTCTTGGCTTTGTAAGACTTCTGCATTTCTATTGTTTCCTTGACAACGATGATATAGATGCTGCTATCACCATGGGGATGGTTCTTTTGAATGAAGCTGCCACCTCCAAAGGGGATGTTGGGAAACGGAGAAGTAAGTCCTTGGAATGCAATGAGCCCAATCACTGCTGTTGTTCTCCTACTATCCGTGCATGTGATTATTATAGATTTGCATTAAAGTTTGCATATTCTGAAATATGTCTTCGCTTTTTGTCCAGTGTATTTGCAAATGTATTTATTCAGATGTTGAACACATTCTCACAGATTTGTAGATGTGCTGTTTTGGATTTCATATTGTACAACAATGCAGGCCAGAATCCAAAGAGCTAAATTTAGGTGTGCGTGCCCAAGAGACTGCATGCACTCAATGTGAGGGTTGTGGTTCAGGGACAGAGCACATACTTTGCATTCTGAAGATCCCGGATTTAGTCCTTGGCATCTCCTGGGGAAGGATCCCAGATAGCAGGCAAGACCTTTCTGTCTCTCAGAGTCATGGAAGAGCTGTTGTCAGTCAGAGTAGAGAATGCTGAGCTAGATAGACCACGAGTTTGACTTGTGTAAGCCAGCTTCGTTTCTGTTCAATGACATTTTTGGATTTTTTTTCTTCTTGTGTATCAACTCCTCATGCTAAATATTGCAAACTGTTTTGGAAGCTCTCTCTTCTGTCAAAAGCAGTTTGCAGTGTATCTTCGAGAGCTGTTCCTCATGAAGGACTCATAAGAACATAAGAACATAATTCGTTTCTGTTCAATGACATTTTTGGATTTTTTTTCTTCTTGTGTATCAACTCCTCATGCTATATATTGCAAACTGTTTTGGAAGCTCTCTCTTCCGTCAAAAGCAGTTTGCAGTGTATCTTCAAGAGCTGTTCCTCATGAAGGACTCATCTGCAGTCTTTGTTTCCTGGCCATATTTGTATGTTAAAAATTACAAGGAGCAGTATAAAATGAACAGGAGTACCTAGTTTCATGTGTCAGTTTTGCCATGTTGCATTATTTCAGACTTGTGCTGTTCTGTGAATGGACCACTGACATTCCTACTGTGGGTTGTTCATCACTTATTGTTCAGTAAATACTAGACCGTTCCAGAGGCAGGCTTTTACAGGGTCCATTTCCATGCAATAGAGAAAGTACTTGGAGACGTATGGAGCCTTTTGCAGTTCTTCCAAAAGCAAGGAACATAGCCTTTTAGACCTCCCCTCTCCAGTTGCTTCTTGCTAAGCAGCTGCAAAAATGGTCAGGTTGAGGTATATTCTGTAGCTTGTAGCCATCACATGTCAATGGTCATTTTAACAAGCATCTTCTAACCCATGATGCCTCTTAAAGATGCATATCTAGCTATTAAGCCAAACAAAAGTTGAGGGGGAAAGATCATTTCCCATATCCCCAAAAGATATTTCTGTTATTATGAGGTGATTCCATAAAACAGTATTTTCAGTCTTACGATAGGTAAACTGGACAGTTGTAATAGACGCATGTGTTAATTAACTATCTGCATTCACACGTGGTAGATTAAACATTCCATAAGTATGAGTGCAATCCTAAACAGAGGTGTCCCCCTTCCAAGTCAAGTGAAGTCAGTGGGCTTAGAAAAGTGTCACTCTGCTTAGGACCATACTGTAAATTGTTCACTTGTTGAACTCCGCTTGCAGACAACATGTTTTTAACAAGTGGAAACTTTTTGGGGTGTTTTTTGGTATTTTTCATATCTATGTGTGTGCGCACATGTGGGTGGGTGTGCACCTGGAAGTCATGGTGACCTCTGGTGACTGACCCCTACTGGGGGCCTGGAGGATATTCAGAGAGATGGCTGAGTAAAGCCTGCCCCCGCCTCCCAACTTCTGGTATTCCAAGGAGGTCTCCCATCCAAGTACTTGCCAGAGTCGACCCTGCTTAGCTTCCAAGATCTGATGAGAAAGGGCTTGCCTGGGCTATCCAGGTCTGGGCAAGTAGAAACTTGATCATGATTTCAAAAGACTTCCCCGAGTCACTCAAATGTAAGACAAGGTGGGGCAAAATAGAAAGAAGACGCAGAAAGAGAGCTTAGTCTGTACCGGGAACAAAGGTATGGTAATGAAGCTCATCCGCAGCTGTGAAGCTGATCAAAGCTTTGCTTGGAAAAAATAAAACAGCATTGTTAATGGCTTCTCTCCTCTTCCCCTAAACCTAAAGCAGTCACCATTTTATCAGCTGTATAAGAATGGACGGAGTCAGCAGTTTCCTATTTTGATGCAAGAGTTCTGGGTGGCCTGACTGGTAAACTTGTGGCAACAGTCTCTTGAGGTGTCCCAGTGTGCCCCCAAAGGGTCTGACACGCACCCAGGATTTCGTTTCATGAAGTTTGTACTTCCAAATCCTCCAACAGCGAGCACCACGAAATGTTTGCCAGTTGCCAGCTTCCACGGCTTCCAGTCATGAGAAAGACATGATGCATTTGTTTTCTTATTGTTGTGTTAGGTCAGATGAAGCAGGGAGGACACCAAGGGATGATATAGCAGACGTATATTTTTGTACTTCAAAGTACAGTTGCTAATGCTGATCGTGTTTATGCTGAATTAATGCTTTCTTGAGCTCTTTGAACTTTGATCATTTCTCCTCCAGTCATATGCCTGGTGGGCCTGGGGCTGGTCGTTTTCTTCTTCAGCTTCCTGCTGTCAATATTCCGCTCCAAGTACCATGGCTATCCATACAGGTAAGCTTCAAATAGCACAGCTATCCTTCCAAGTATCCTCTTTTTCTGTTGTTGTTCTTGTTGTTTTTGCTTCCAGCTCTCAATTTTCTGCTCGGATATTCCCGAATCTAAGAACAAATAAGTTGTGCCTCTATACTGAAGGGCTTGTCTGGATGATCACCTCAAAGCACAGTGGAGAATTACCACCACTTTCTTACCCTTAGTAAGATGGCTCTTGCAAGCAACTATTGGGGGGGAAAGTAGACAAGCAGGGCATGGCTTCCATGTGGAACTGGGGGAAATAACCTTACTGCATAGAGAATAATTCTGCTGTAGGGATAGGGGGTGATAGCTGTGCTTCTTGTTTCTCTTTCCCAAATTCCTTTTCTCTCAATCTCTGTGAGATCGCATTTGGAATCCTTGGGAATTGGGAACGAGAGGGCCACATGCAACCCTTGTGGCAAAACCCAAGTCATGGGATGGCAAGATTATCATAGACAACGGGGAGAAAATTAATGGGGGGGAGGTTGAAGCAAGACATAACAAGACGAAGAAGAGAAGAGGATTGATATCCCGTCCTTCACTCAGTCTCAGAACGGCTTACAATCTCCTTCCCTTCCCTCCCCACAACAGACACCCTGTGAAGTAGGCGAGGCTGAAAGAGCTCTTGAGAGAACTGCTCTTGAGAGAACAGCTCACCCAGCAGCTGCATGTAGAGGAGTGGGGAATCAAATTTGGTTCTCCAGCTTTGGGTCCACTGCTCTTAACTATCACACCAAACTGGCTCTCTTTCTTAACCACTACACCAAACTGGTTCCCATCACCATTCCCTTGACTAGAGATTTTTTAACCTGGATTTGTAAGGGGATAGGTGCTGTCAGTATGATACAGATGCATTTCTGGAACCAAGACTTTGAAATATAAAGGAACTTCATGATGCAGAGTTTTGCCGCATTATCATTTGTTTTCATTCAGTCCTTTGTTTGAACAGAAACTCGGTCTTTTTAAATTCTGTATAAAAATCAATAAACAGCATGCGGTATTATAAGTTGTGATTTTCAAAAGAACTTTTGTGTGTGTGTGTGTGTGTGTGTGTGTGTATGTTTGGCACTATTGACAAACTCTACATGGGAGAAGAGGAAAGCATTATTTTTGCAAACGTATTTTTTACATGTCAGGCATACTGGAAAATAATATCTCTATTACGCTGGCCTTCATGGCTCAGCCATAGAAAAATGGGACATTGTTTGAATCTTCCATATCAAGGTTTTGTCTCTGTATTATTAGCCTCTTAGGTGTCCATCATGAAAACAAACAAGGGCATGATTATTGTGGGTTTTGACTTTTCGGCAAACTCCCTATGGGGAAACTGGATGAAACACACTTGTCATTGGGGAGAATGAAAACTATTACAGTGGGAAGAGTTTTATAACATTTTAGATGAAGAAAAGTCAAGTTTCCAAGCCCCATCACCTGTGTGGTGAAGCTCTACACACAACAAACTACCAGAAACACTGTCTTGATTGTTCTATCAAACCTCCAGGATTGGTCAGCAAAGGCATATAAGGCTGTGTTCCCAGTGGATTCCCCATTAACTCTAAGGTCTCATTGCCAGGAGACTCACGAAAGCATTAGTTGAATTCTGTTTTGGAAGCATTTTATGAATGTTGAGTGGTCAGGATTAAACTTTTGATCCATCTGCTTTTTTACAAAACCTGAATATGTTATGTATATTTTAAATTGTAACTTGTCCCAACCCTTCACAGGAGAGTGAGCTAGAAGTCCAAAGACCAATCAAATAGTCCTTAGCACCAGAAACTTTGGCACAGTCCAGATCTTTTCACTGTGTCACCTGCCAGTTTGCTTCTAAACCTTCTTTGCTTGCCCCCAACTGGGTGATGGCCTGCATTATCTTAAATACCAACATTACCACCCGTGGTCTTCAGAGTTTCAGGCGATCTTTCTATATTCTCATTTGCCAAAAAAAAAGGATACAGAGGCAGTGCACATCAGATACTGGCCAGGCTTGCTGTTGACCTTGGTAAACTGAGTGTATACCCCACTACCTGTGTGCTGAAAACTGCAGAAGAAAATTGTTAGCTGCAGCCAAGATGTTTTTTCAGGGAAGATTGTCAAGCGTTACTGATCTACTGATTAAGAAAGCTTGACATTCCCAGAAACACAATCTGAAACCCACATGTTTATGTCACATGGAACCTTTTGTTTCACAGGATTCGGGAGGGTCTCCTGAACTCAGGTCTTTGATAACTCCTTCAAACAGTTCAAAAATGATTTTTGGCCTAAGACCCAGAGTTTTGTTTAATTTTTAAGCTTTTTTCCCCCAGCGGTGGGAACCTAATATATTCAGGATGGACAAAGAGAAGTACTTATTCACTCAATGAGTAATTAAATTGTAGGACTAACTGCCAGTGGGTATAGTGATGTCTTTTAAAAAGACAGACTCATAGAGGATAGGTCCATCGATGGCTACTAGCCATGTTGACAAAAGCAAACCTCCAGAGCCACTGGTTGGCCACTGCGTGAAAAGGATGCTAGCTGAGATGGACTGCTGTTCTGATCCAGCAGGGTTCCTCATATGTCCTAGCTTCACACCAAGAGCCACTGGATTTTGAAAAATGTTCATCATCTGTATACTTAGAGCTTTGTCTAACTAGTAGGTTTCACAAGGGGGAGGGGGGCATCTTTCTGAGGCAAAACTTGAATCCGGGAATTTATTTCAAATTAGTACCTCTGAGGTAAAAGATTTTTTTTAAAAAAAATTAATTCCGGGATTCTCTTTACTGCTTTGCAAATAATTGGAATCACATAACCTAGTTTTCATTCTTCAGGCTTGCCGTATAGGAGAATCTCTGGTGGTTGCCTGCATAACACCCTTCGCTCCTAAATATATACTAGCTTTCTCAGTCAATATTTTATAACTCTTCCGGCCTAGTTTTCTGCTCTAATACCATGTCAGAATTTCTGAAAGTTGCACGCTCCCCCTTGGAGAGTTCTCTTACTCAACTCTCCAGAGATATTGGAGCCCTTCAGTAAATCATTGCTACTAGATTCGTTAGGCTTTTCACGAGAGCGGTTTTGTCTCCTGCAGTAATCTTTAATGACTGTACAGCAGTCTTGCCTGTCGGTCTGTCTCCTGTAGATTAAATGTCCTCCTCTAGGCATGCATGTAACTCTCACTAGTTTTAATGAAAAATATATTGTGTGCACCAACCACTACAGGGGTCTCCCTTTGCTGTGCTTGGTGTCATTAAGTGTGCAACTTTAATAATAATTATTTCTATTTATTAATGTAATAACAGCTACTATTAGATTTATTTTTGTTGCTGTCCTTTTGTTCTGTATCTTCTTGTAGCCCAACAGTTAGTTTCAGCATACAGCCCTGTTATTTACTGGCCAGTGGCCAGCCTGAGTTCACAGCATGGGAAGAGCGAAGGGCCTGTATAGTGTCTGAATGGCAATGCCACACATTTCAGCTTGTTCCTCTTCCCTCCTTGAAAACAAGTGGACAATCAAACAAGGAAGGACCACATACCCCACTTCCATTTTCCTCTGTGCCAAGGAAGAAAGTCCTAAATGTATCTCTTAAGGGACAAGATGAAGAGCTCTTGAAAGTGCAATGGGGAGTTCTACAGCTTGTGGGTGCAGCTGTTACCAAGGGCTGTCAGGTCCCAGCCAACTTAGGGCAACCCCGTAGGGTTTTCAGTTGTTGTTGTTGTTCAGTCGCGCAGTCGAGTCCGACTCTTCGCGACCCCATGGACCAGCTCCCAAATAGAGGTGGTTTTCTATTGCCTCCCTCTGCATAGCAACCCTAGACTTCCTTGGTGGTCTCCCATCCAAATACTAACCAGGGCTCATCTAGAGATGTGAAGGCCCGGAAAAAACCCGGAAAAAATTAGGAAAAAACCGTTTTTTCCCCGTTTTTTTCCTGAAGCCTTTTTTGTTTTTTTCCGAAAAATTGGAAAAATTGAAAAAAGAAAAGAAAAAAATTGATTATGGAACATTTTATTTTAACATGATGAATAAAATATTTTAAGACCACGTGTTCAAATATTTTCCAAATCATTTCTTATATATATATAAATATATATATGGTATCAGATTGATGTAATTTCTGTGCACTGAGGACAAGCAAGTCCTAGGTTACAAACTGAACTCTCCAATGCAAGAACAAGATGCATTTCTTCCTTTAGGAGGTGCGATTGTCAGAAGAAAATAAAAAAGTTTCAGTTTTGTTTTTGCATGTGGGTGGGTATTCTGTAATAATTGTTTGGATACACTATATTTTTAATATGCTAGTTGTGTTAATTTCATGCCAAGTAAAAATGTTCATAGTCATATTTTATGTTCCTAAAGTAACAGAATGACTTTCAAACTAGAAAAGACAAAAGAAATGCTAATGTAGCATTTTTTTCAATTTTTCCGAAAATTTCCGTTTCCCCCCGAAAAAAACCGGGAAAAAATGGAGTTTTTTCCGAGCTTCAAAATTTCCGGAAATTTTACATCTCTAGGCTCATCCTGCTTAGCTTCAAAGATCTGATGAGATTGGGCTACCTTAGATAAGTATGTTTTTGTGATATAAATAAAAATTCCTTCACCAGAGCTGCACTTGTAGAAGACTTAAGGTGGGTGTGATTTCACCACTGCCTTCTTGTCAGTGCAGACCCACCAAGCCACGTGGCTATTACTTCACGCAGGTCCTATGATCTCAGACGTCAACTGTTCCCAGGTTTGTAATGCTGGTGGATGGGAATGTGGCAAAGATATATACTCCTTGTGCTGATACACTGCTGAAGCCAAACCACTATATGGCATTTTTGACACATTTTTGGGTTTAGTTTTCTTGGGTTTTCTACTAACTTGAAAAGAGGGGGCTGTTTTGCCATGTGACCTTATTGCCCAGCCACAATAAAGTTGCAGACCAGGGCTGTGGCCAGGATTTGTTACTTCAGGGGGCATTTAAATAAGCTGGGGGGCACACACACACCCACGCCCAGGCTGTG